TAAAGTTCAAACTTATACTAATCTTCATTATAGCTCTTAAAAAACTTGTTTTAGATTCTGGAAAATTGACAAAACTTGACGAATTACTCAAAGAGCTTAAAGCTGGTGGCCATCGAGTGTTAATTTACTTTCAAATGACACGCATGATTGACTTGATGGAAGAATATCTTGCGTACAGACAATACAAGTATTTAAGACTCGATGGTTCATCAAAAATAGCCGATCGTCGCGATATGGTTGAAGACTGGCAAACACGGTACTTACATTATAGCTAGTTAAATATTGCGAATGTTTTTGTATGAAAATTACTTATTATAATATTTTTAGATCCGAAATATTTGTTTTCCTGTTAAGTACTCGTGCTGGTGGTTTAGGTAAAGGGTTATTTTATGATTTTTTTTTTAATTTTAACGTTATGATAAAAATAATTCACAATATTATCTATTAATATATTTAGGTATTAATTTGACAGCAGCGGATACTGTCATTTTTTATGACAGTGATTGGAATCCTACAGTTGACCAACAGGTATAGATAAAATAATCTTTTCATTACATCAATATCCCAGTTAAAAATTCATAAATCAATTTATTTTAGGCCATGGACCGTGCACATAGATTGGGTCAAACTAAGCAAGTTACTGTGTACAGACTGATAACCAAAGGTACTATCGAAGAAAGGATCCTTCAGCGCGCGAAACAGAAAGACGAAGTAAGATTAATAATCAAGTGTTTTATGATGCATGTGTGAAGATATTTATTCATTTTTAAATTTAGATTCAAAAAGTTGTAATATCCGGTGGTGAATTCAAGCAAGTCGACTTCAAACCGCGAGAGATTGTATCGCTGCTTCTTGAAGATGATGAGCTTGAAGCTAAACTTCGTGATCAACAGTCAAAGCGAAAGGTCGAAGATGATGATCTTAAGAAAAAAGGAAATGGTGGAAAACGCCGTAAGAAAGATTCGAATTCTGGTGCCAGTTCTTCAGTCATTTCATCCAGAACCCTTGAAGATTTATGGCATGAAGGAGAACCGCCTATGGTAGAAACAGAAGGTAGCGGTGTTACTACACCGACGAGTTCTGTTGGTGGCACGAAGAAAAAACGTACGAGAAAAGCAACGTCTAAATCAGCATCAAAAGCATCAAAGAGTAGGGCAAAGAAGACAACTACATAGTAATTCAAATTTATAAGCTCAGCCAAGTCGGTAATTTGATACGGCTAAGCCGGCTATTACTCAAAAAAAAAAAAAAAAATATGGTAATAAGATTTCAAAATTTTGAACTATAAAATCCGAAACTCTCGCTGGCCATGTTCGTATTTTATTTTATATTTTACATAAATAAAAAAAAAAAAAAAGTTCGGAAATAATAAAAAAAAATAAGCGTCGTTGCGTAACATGCATTAAAATATTAAGCTGCATGACATGATTCTGATTGATTAGCGTTATATATAATGTTGGTCAAAAGTATCCTATAAATTGTATTATCAAATTCTAATTTGAAATATAGTATATTAAGTTATATGTAATAGATATTCCACGGGCTGCTGTGAATATCATGAATTAGCACGGCGAAGCATGTGTCACGGCACACCGTTGAATATCTTAAAATTTTTAATGATGGCGTAATGCTCGTGGAATAATTTCTGATAATTTCGCACCTAGAAAATGTATACCAGATTGGGATCGGACGATCGACCGGAAAGATAGTCGGAATGATAACATTCGGAACTGGAAACCAAAATTACGTATTTGCATTATCATGTTAAACATTACGTAAAGGATATTGTTATTAGCGTTAGCATAATATTTTTCGTGCTTTTCATTCCTGAAAAAAAATAGACGCAAAACTTGAACAAGCTGTTATTCCGTTAATTACAGGAAACCATCAAATTAAAACTAAATAAGCTTTATGTTTACAATATATTTATAATATATTAACTATATTATTGTTATATGATCTTTTTTTTTTGAATTTGCTGTATACAGGATAAGATTAATTACAGATTGTATCAAGATGATATTAATTTAAACTATTTATTTTGGGTTTCCTCTTTCCCTCTCTATAACTAATGGTAGCTAGTCTTAAGTTAGTTTATTTGAATATATTGAACCTATCTATACCGCTTCAGCAAATATTTCCATTAGCTTATTAGTATCAAGTTGAAAATTACAATGACTGTGAAAATAAGCAATGTTCAGCCGTTTAAAGTTGATATTGAAATTGGTTTGTATTTTATTCATAATAAAATTTTATTTATCCCTTAAACCGTCTGGCAAATTTGCTCGCTTAAGAGTAGGGTGTACAATAGATTGTAGATCACTTTGTGTATATGATATCATATCTGATATGATTTACATGTAAACATATGATTTGACTAATCAGAATTAGCAATTCTTTGTACAGTATGGGTATATATAGAGGTGTCAATTCTGTTAAAAAAATGTTTTTCTTTTTTCTATATTAAACACTAATTTTTTGAACTTATATAAACTTTAGTCTTTAGGTTTAGGTTACAGATAACTCCTATAACTCTTGAGTTAGCAAGGGTTCTGTTTGAGTTTCTAGTTTTAGTATCTTATAGATATAAAGTTCAAATAATGTAATTTCTTTATTTAATTATTTGTAAAGAAGTTTAATTAGATTTTAATAAAGATAGAAGCATGGTCTTACCTTTGTGAAGATTAAAAAAAAATAAATAACTAAATTTTAGTTCTTTATAATTTTTTTAAAATTAAAAAAAATCTTTTAACAGAAATATAGTTTATCTAAAAATCTATCAATTTGTTAGAGGTTTTTTTAATTTAACTTGTTTTTTTTTGGTTTTAAAAGTGAGGTTTTACCCTTTATAATTTTTTTAGTTTTTTTTATTAATTATAAATATATTACAATATGATATAACTAAAAAACTTTAAGTATAAAGAATTCAGATTATTTTATCTATAATCTAAGCTTTATCCAATAAGGTATTATCTGTTTAGACCTAACTATGATTTTTTGCCTTTTCAATCTTTCTTATTAATATTCTATATATATTTCTCACATTTCTCATATAGCCACAAATATATTTCCAAATAGGTATTACAACTAAGGTTTTATAACTAGGTTACTTTCTAATTTGGTAGTAGGTATTGGTCTGCATTTCATTCAGATACTGGATTTACCATCTCAGATCTTATATTTTGCCTTTATCTACTAATATCTCTTCTAAACTTTTCTTTTTTCTTCAAAGTACTAGCCTCTGCAGCTTTTATAATTGTTTATTTGTACTTTTATGCTGTATATTTATTTTTAAACAGAAATTTCTATAAGTTGGTAAGGTATAGACTATGTTGTATAACTTATCTCTGAAGTTACTTTTAATATGATTTTATAATATTTGATTACTTCCAACTTGAGTATTTCAACTTGGTTAGTATTTTAAAGTTGGTGTGTCTTTGCAATGCTGTTATATTTGTTTATATATAAGTACTATCAGCCCAGTGTCTTCTAGCCATTTTGAATATTTTACATGTTTTCTAAATAAGTATCATCTCTCTATATTTTAGAACCTTCTAATCCTAGTTTTCTGTGCAGGTGTCAGAGGTGTTTTCAAATTTGGTAAAGCCAATTTTTTATCACAAATTGTTTTTATATTCATAGCTTTTCTTATTATTCCAGTTTTAGTTACTATTATATCACTCTTTCAATCAAATTCAGTATTGCAATACCAGATATACACAATTTAGTAATTATCCTTTTAAACAAGTTTTCTACAAGTTGGGTATAGAGATATTGATATTGCTTAACAAAGATGTTGGTATTGCCTGTATACAAGAACTTATTTGTGCGATTTTTAGTAACTAAATCTTCTGTAACATTGCTGCTACACATCATGTCTACACTTTATAATTAGATCTTCTTTCGAGAATTCTTAATTTAATTTCATACTTGCATATAGACATCTATAGTGCTTTGCATTCAATTTGGCTTCTTAAGATTGCAATAGCAAATTCAAAATTTGCTGTTAGTTCGACTCAAACTATTGACCTTGTCTGTAGAAGTTTGAAAGCTTAATTTATAAACTATAGGGTCCAAATCCTCAAAGTTAAACCAATTTAAAGTTTTTATTAATAAATATTAGATGTATTTTATTGTTTGATATTATACTACCTAAGAAAAACATATAGTGATCTAGAATAATTTAATTATATATAAAGTAATTTTTTTAAGTAATATATATTGCACAATTTTAATATTATAAATAAACTGTCAAATTACATATTATATAAAAAACAAGACTAATTAGTATTTTATATACATTGAGCTCCTTATTATTATTATTTTTTTAATATTAAGGTGATTACTCACAGATCTGATATAGTTTATTAAACTTTTGAGTTGATACCAATTCAGTCATCTAAGAGCAAAGGGCTCATGGCCAAATGGATAAGGCACCTGACTACGAATCAAGAGATTCCAGGTTCGACCCCTGGTAAGCTCGAATAAAAAATTAGTTTTCATTATCATCTGCACTCTTTCCAACGATTATCTGGTCAACAAAAACAAGAAATTGAACTACGGTCAGCGCTATAGAAAACGCTTAAGTAAATAATAAACTTGGTCCTACGAAAGTAGGTGTGTTGTCGACGAAGTACCAAGAGTGTAAAACTGAGGCGTAGTCTACTTTGGACTGGTTTTTGTAGAGGTCAAGCTCTTCTTCTGGCGGACTCCTCTATTATATTAGGCATCCAAACCAAAAGGATATTTTGGAAACACAGAACATCTAGGACGACACTAGGAGTATTACAAGCTTAAGATATATCTATATAACCGTAAAACTTACAAAGAACAACCACAAAAAAGCTTTGTTGGCCCACCACTTTTTTTGAGTAAATTTTGTCAAAAAGTGGGCGTTTTAGCTTACCCTTCCAAAAGATCGACACGTAATTTTCCAAAACAAGTTAGTATTGTTTACCTGTCTAGAAATGGATGGGACTTCCATAACAGGATATCGGGCAGACGTCCGGATTAAGCAACCATGTACGGACTGTATGATAACACAAATGGTATATGTGTCTCGACCGGAAAAACTGTTGGACAATACTTCGAGACTTTAATATTTTGGGCTACTCTGTTTTATTTAGACGTCTTTTTTTTATGTTTTTTTTTTATATACATATATTATTAGGATAGAGTTAGATACAGAGCTTCTTTACCTATTAA